TTGTAAAGGAGAGCAAGTCCAGTGTTCTGAACCTAACTTTGAGGCTAAACTTCCTCACCCCAGAACCTATTGAATTAAGGAAGTCTCACCCATTTAAAATCAAAGTAATAGTATTCGGAAACAGGATCTTCTGCTGCGTGATATTGCTGTAGACTCTTCTGCAGTAAATTCAGCATCTTCTGACCTGTCATGTCTTGCTGGAATCTAGTCTGACAGACTCAGTAGGAACCCAGTGAACTTGCGACGTTACAGTGAAATCGTGATCTGCCAAACTCAGATAACACAAAACCCTGATTCTGGCAAAGTTACGAGCCATTCCCACCAGCAGAACAGGAAATCCAATAGAATGATGCTTGTGATAAAAGTTCTGGATTGGTCACTCCAGATTAGCCAAACCAGTACACGCTTGTTTTATGACCGAACCAACCAATCACAGTGGCATTAGGCTACAATGGAGATTGAGATCTGTGAGTGCAGTTAAACCTGTGAGAAAGTTACAAGTGCTTTTGATTGGAGATAAAGTGAAGTCGATACAATAAGCGGAGACAACAAGGCATAGAGCTGGATGAACACAGCAGGCCAAGCAGCATCATAGGAGCAGGAAGGCTGACGTTTCGGGCCTAGACCCTTCTTCAGCACTGTGTGACTGCTTGGAGTTAGCATTTTCTGGGACCTCACTTTCACTGATCCTGTCAACAATGCAACCTCACGCTGATTACAATCGATTTCGCTGTACTTTTATCACTTTTCCTGACATTTACTGTAGTCTCCAACAAATCCGATAAGGAATTCATCAAAACATTCCACCCTGAGTGTGGAGAAACTTGTTGGCCTAGAGAGTAGTTGTTAGTGAATGTTGTGTAAGATAAAGGATCTGGGAGGGGTCATAATCAAGTTACATTGGCTCCATCCATTTTACTGATGTCACACACAGTCCATGGATGGAGACAAGGAGTTCTACACTAGTTGTTTGCATGGAGCTGATGTATGAGGGACCTCTTCCACCCAGCTATAATCTCTTCCATGATTTCTGAAGAAGGGTCTAGGCCCGAAACGTCAGCCTTCCTGCTCCTACGATGCTGCTTGGCCTGCTGTGTTCATCCAGCTCTACGCCTTGTTGTCTCAGATTCTCCAGCATCTGCAGTTCCTACTATCTCTGATACAATAAGCGGAGAACTGTGATGCAAAATAAAAAGCTAACGTCACAAAGGAGTGGGAGATTTTTCCAACATTAACTCCTAATGTTTTTCACGTTTACTATACAATGTCAGATAATTGTAAGGTGTGAACAAATAGAAAAATAAAGATTTTATTTCGTATTTGAATGACTGTGTCACTGTGTTTTCCTTTTCTATTGACAGAGAGCACATTTGTAGGCATGAGAACATAAGAACATAAGAGCTAGGAGCAGGAGTAAGCCGTCTGGCCCTTCGAGCCTGCTCCGCCATTCAATAAGATCATGGCTGATCTTTTCGTGGACTCAGATCCACTTACCTGCGTTCTCACCGTATCCCTTAATTCCTTTATTGTTCAAAAAAATATCTACCTTATCTTTAAAAATGTTTACCGAAGTAGCGTCAACTACTCCACTGGGCAAGGAATTCCATAGATTAACAACCCTCTGGCTGAAGAAGTTCCTTTTTCCAAATCAGCTTTTGTAAGGCCCTCATCTATCTTGAAGCTGTACCAACATGAGATTATACTGTTTTGGGACATGCCTGAAGACCTATGTCTTGAACCAAATTTTTAATCTTCATAGAATCCCTACAGCGTGGAAACAGGCCCTTCGGCCCCAACAAGTCCACACCAACCCTTGCAGCATCCCACCCAGACCCATCCCCTATAACCCACCTAATCTACACACCCCTGAACACTACGGGCAATTTAGCATGGCCAATCCACCTAGCCTGCACAACTTTGGACTGTGGGAGGAAACCAGAGCACCCAGAGGAAACCCACGCAGACACAGGGAGAATGTGTAAAGTCCACACCTGAGGGTGGAATTGAATCCAGGTCCCTGGAGCTGTGAGGCAGCAGTGCTAACCACTAAGCCACCGTGCTGCCCCCATGTCAAATTTTCAATGCTAAGTTCCTGTGAATGTCCTTGGAACATTTTACTATCTTAAATGAGACATATACATATAGATCATTGTAATTGAGGCAGATCAACTCTGCAGGGTATTGCAGTTCAATCCCATCTTTACCTGCCATGCACCTAAGTACTGTTTCCTCCAGAGGTGACTGGGATAGAAGTCAGGAATGGAATCTACTGAACCAAGTCTAACTGCTTCAGGTAAATTCAGCTAACTCAGTGTTTTCTGAGGACCAAGTCTTGAGGCACTCAATTAAAGCTGCTTTCCTGTTGTGGTCACCAGTGGCTATAGGTCTCAGCCAGTGGTTCTGGCACAGGAAAAGTACCAAATATAAAGTAAACCTGCCCTCTATTCAGTACAGCAATGATAAAGCTATCAGTGGAGCTATCCGAAGAATGGGTGAATCAGATTATTGTATCCTGTGGCTGGCTAAGAATGATGGCATTGTGGCCAAAAGTTGTCTAACAAGCTGAAGACTAGTTATGGAAAAGTTTTATGTTTGCTTAGGAATATGAATTTGAGCTAAAAAAAAATCTCCATCTTTTCTCAGTGACTACACTGGCGGAAGAATTCAAACTGAGAAGCGACAAGTCAGATGGTCTGCTACCTCCCTCCATGGACTGAATTTTCCATGCCCCACCTCTCACGCACCTTCCCTCCCTTCCCCTCACCCATTTGTAAATGCTGGCACCTCATTGGCCCGGCTTTCGCCCAACCACTTCCCACAGTGGAGGCCAACCAATGACAAACTCAGGATCAGTAACTCTCTTGTCTCAACACTGCCACCAGCAACAATGGGCACTACTGGTGGTGCATCCCAAAGAGAAGGTAGGTGCAGCGAAGCGCAGATGAAGTTAAGTCCAGGGTCTCAGTGACTCCAGGTAAGTAGACAACCCTCTTTTAAGAAAGTCAGGTTAACATTTGTCAATTCAAGTTATGTAGTGTTTGCATTTAAAATAAACACCTTTACCACAATGGCTTTTTTGTTCGCAGTGTCTTTTCGTAGCGGCTCTGAAACCACACAGAAGGTTATTTCTGTAAGTAATAGCTGAAAGATTTCTTTAATGCGGATGTGGTGAATGACAATAGCAAAAAGACTGTTAATGCAGCTGATATTTAGTTAACCTTTCAGAGAAAGGGAATGAGCTGGCCACTTTAAACATTGGTCCATCAGCAGTTCTCCCACTCTTTTTAATTCTCCCACATCTTCATCCAGTCCTTCCTGATCAGATCATGGCTATTCGTATTATTTTATCCCCTCCAAATATTGTTCTGTTTTCATTGTCAATTTGCACAGAATTTGGCACAATGTGCAGGACATCTTGTAGGGGTTTCACAGACATCCAGGGATTGACACTTTGCTCAATAAGTTTGTTCAATGATATTTTTAATGGTCGGATAGCCATTATTGTACCTGAGCTATTCTGGAGGTATGGGGTTGTGGACTGTGCCACCAACCAGGTGTACATGGGCTAGCTCTTGCCCCTATGCAAAACCCCTTTTATTTTCTTACAATACAGAGAGGATGCATGTCATTGGATCAAAGCTGCCAGGAAAGTATCCTACGCTTGTATAATTCTCCAGTGCAAAAATGCTGCAAACAATGACCTGTGTGAGCATCATCAGGGTAAGTGAGGTAATAAAGGATGGAAAAAAGCACTGTCCAAGCACAATAATCTCTTGGTAATCCAGTAAGGGGAATAGCACACAGCCCCAGTAATCTGAGTTCACAGCCTCAAGTGACCCTTTAAATAATGTTTCCTGTGAATCCTTCTCTGTAGCTGTGACACCATGTTCTGCATCCTTTTCTATTACCCTGATGTACTTATGTGAGCCATGGTTTGCCTGGATAGCATGCAAAACAATATTTTTCACAGTATCTCAGTACATGTGACAGTAATAAATCAAATCAAATTATGCCAATTGTGGTGGGTTGGCTAATGGCCATGGTTTCTGATGCACTCAGTAAAAATCAGATTGGAGTCCTAATCACATCATTGGGCCTTAATTTATATGGACTGAAGAACCCATGTTCTGGTAGAGTCTTTAAAAGTTATTTAAAAAGTGGCCCACTCAATTAGAGGGTGTTCATAAACAAGAGATTTTAATACCTCACTCCCCATTCCAATTAGGTGTGAAGGTTCAAGTCTACAGTGTTCTATGTTTTATTTTATGTACCATTGTAACGGATGCAGGGTAATGAAATATGTCATTACAGTGATAAGATCTGGTGTACAATTCCCTGTACATTGATCTAACAACTTACCATAGACCCCCAGAAGAGTGCCTCAATACCAGTGAGTCTTCAATTTCAACAAGGTCAGTTTGGCCCCCAATTAAGGAACTCATCCAGTAGGAACTTAAATCCATTAGTGCTGGCAGCCACAGAAGTAAGTGAGCCAGTTTGAAACTCAGGTCCTGGGATGTAAGAAAGATCAGCAACACATCAGCCAGTTTCACTGCTCATTTCCAGTTTTGATGAGGAAATTTGCTGTGTGTTCGAACCTTGAGAAAATATCGCCTATCATTCTGAGGTCACTTTGCAACACTGGCAACACTTAGAGTCATAGGGATATGCAGCACGGAAACAGAACCCTCGGTCCAATTTGTCCATGCCAACCAAATACCATATATAAATCCAGTCCTATTTGTCAGCATTTGGCCCATATCCCCCAAACCCTTCCTATTCAAAAAGTAGACCTTTGCATTGCAATATTGTTATAATTTATGTATCTGAAGGAAATGGTCAATGGGATGTTAAACACAAAATGATTTATAAATGTTCTTGTTTCGTGTGATGTTTGCATCTAATGCCCTGATATTCTTTCATTGTTGGAAAAAATTACAGAGGATGGTCTCAAAGGAGGAATTACCACCATGTCTGAAAAAAGTACTAATTAAACCTGATCAGATATTACCGAAATAGTTTTTATTTCAAATCAATCTTCTGTGACCGCTGCGCTGCAGTACTTTTTTTTTGTTCTTGTTAGGATGTGATTTTTTCCACTTGGTGATTGTCTGGAATGAAGAGTTAAAGGAAGTAGGTCAGTGTATAGAGTACTGTCACCACGGATGTGAACAAAAGTTTTAGCAGACCTCAAACAGGCTCTGTATGACATCGCACATCACAATGAAATATCTTGGGTCTGTACATTAATCCATAAATTAAGTCCAGTGCATGAAAAATCAATTGTTTACTTGTCAATTCAGACTCCCATACAGAAGGAAGGTTGACAGTTCATTTAAAATGACAAAATCTTTTATTCCTCTGTGGATATTTGTTCAAATTTGCAGGGTCAGTCTCTGGCCAGTGTGCTTTCAAATGGACAGGATCAAAGCCCGACTTTCTTTCAATATCTTGAATATCTCACAATATGTCAGCTCTGATCTTTTAAAATTCAGCTATTTCAAAGCCATAATGAGGCCTTTTGGCATTTCAGTTCAAATGTCTTCAGATCTCCACCTCTACTTTGCTTCTGTCAGACGATAGTTCCCAATGGTTTTGTTTCTGTGTCTAGCGTTGACGTATACAGGTTCCCCTGTGGAAAACAGAAAGATGCCAATCACTCTAGTTCTGGCACATTATTCAGAAACATTGTTTAGCTTCTTCCTGGTGGATTATGTTAGATTGGTATTCTTACTAGTTGAGAGCCCCTGTAAAGGATTACGGCCCATCATGCAGAGGTCCACCAAGTATGAAAAGTGTGGGAAAGAAAATGAGATAAGCAGTAGTTATACAACACTAAATTTCTAAAGGAAATTTCCGAAGATTTCAAAGAATTTCTAAAAGGATGGTAGTCATCATTTGCTTGCGAGTTGTTGTCTAAGGATCTTTGGTGAATTTCTGCAATACATCTTGTAGATGGTACACACTGCTGGTACTGAGGGTTGATGGTAGCTGGAGTGGATGCTTGGAAATGTTATGCCAATCAAGAGGGCTGTTTTGTCCTGGATGGTTTTATTTAGTTTTATTTTATATTCAATGGATGAGGGCTTTGCTGATTAGGCCAGCATTGGTTGCCCATCCCAGAGGGCAGTTAAGAGTCAACTACATTGCCATGGGTCTGGAGTCACATGTAGTCCAGACCAGGTGTCATGCTTTTTGAGTGTTGTTGGAACTGCAGCTATCCAGGCAAGTGGGGAGTATTCCATCACTCTCCTGATTTCTGCCTTGTCACAGTTTGTGTTGGCCATACTTTGGGGAATCGAGAGGTGAGTTACTCACTATAGTATTCTTAGGTCCTGATTTGTTCTGGTAGCTACAGTGTGTTGAATCTCTAGTCAGTGGTAACCCCCAGGATGTTGACAGTGTTGGATTCGATGATAATAATGGTATTGAATATTCAGTGGTGATAGTTAGATTCTCTCTTATTGGAGATTATCATAGCCTAGCATTTGTTTGGCACAAATGTTACTTGCCATTTTCAGCCCATGCCTGGATATTATCCGGGCCACGTTGCATTTGGACATGGGCTGCTTCATAGCCCATCAAGAGATTTGGTGACAAAATTCTAGGCTGTCATTCAAATGCAACAATGACAAAGTTAACACAGTGTGGAGCTGGAGGAACACAGCAGGCCAGGCAGCATCAGAGGAGCAGGAAAGCTGACATTTTGAGTTGGGACCCTTCTTCAGAAATGACAGAGTGTTGTGCTGTCAAAGCTGCTTTCTGAATGAGGCTCTAAACCAAAGCCCATCAGGCCTTTCTGGTGGATGTAAGAGATCTTATAGCTCAATTTTGAAAAACAGAGGAGTTTCCTCAGTGTCCCGGCTAATGTTCATCATGGAGTCACCAAATTTTATGGCATGGAAAGAACCCCTTCAGCCCATCATGTTCACACTGGCCATCAAGCACCCAGCTACACGAATCCCATATTCTAGCACTTGAGGGAATGAGTTCCAAATACACCTAGCTCTCTGGATGAAAAAGAAATCCTCAAATCCCCTGTAGACCTCCTTCCCCTCACCTTAAATCTAAGGTACTCTTCGACAAAGAGAGAAAGTTTCTTCCTATTTATCCAATCCATGCCCCTTATAATTTTGTACGCTTCAATCAGAAACCCTCTCAGCTTTCATTTGCCTCAATCAAATTGAGAAAATAGATTATTTGACAATGATCACATTGCTGTTTATGGGAGCTTGCTGGGTACAAGGTGGCAGCTGCATTTCCTTACTTTGCAACAGTGGCAACAATTCGAAGGTGCTTCATTGGCAACCTAGGGTCATGAAAAGTGTTCTTTCTTTACATTAAGATTGATAAAGTTAAGACAGGTTGGAAATCAGAGACATTCAAATGGTTGAGCTCAATGTGTGTTGATTGGATTTGCTTAGGTGCTGATGAAATTCAACCAAAATATATATATGTGATGAGGAAAAGTTGTTGTGTAAAACTGAATCATTGTAAAAATCAGGCTTTTGATGGAATGCTTTTTGTGTCCTTGCTACATCCTGAGATTCACTTCTAGCTTGAAATGTATTCATTGTTGTCAGTCAAAGCAGCAACCACTTTGTTTGGTTCCACGAACTGCAAATGATGAATAACCTGATAATCTGTTTTCTGTGTAAGAAATAATCCTGCCATGGAATCTTTAAACCCGCCAGTCACTTTTGCTCCCCGCAACAGTGTAACAATTTACTATCTAATCTGAGATTCCACAATACTTATTACATTAGAATTTTCCAAATAATGCCATAAATGCTCCCTTTTCAGGTTGAAAAGCCAGATCCCACTACCTCTTGGGATGTCCTGCACCAAGCGCCCAAAGTTCCGTGAAATGGAAATCGATCCATTCAGTTGAAGGCCACAGCAAAAACTGACAACCCTGAGTGAATGAAAAGTTTGAATTCTTCCAATTTTTGCTTGCAAATCAAACCACTTACACTAGGGAGCCTTTTTCTTCCCTGTACTGCTTCCAGGATTTAAAAATACTCAAGGTGTGATCTGATAAGGGTACTGTAAATTTTGATCACAACTAACCTGAATGTTAAACAACTGGCTGATTGTGTAGTTTAACATTGTTTTTTGTTGCTACTGCGTATTGTTTGGACATGTTTAATATCGAGTTTACTAGGATCCTTATCTTACTATCTAATTCCTCATTGGCTATTTCATTGACGTTCACAGAGTGTGTGAGTTGCTTATTTTTCTGTCGTTTATGCAGTACCATGCACTTGTTTTTATTAGATTTTATCTGCCACTGTTCTGCCTCCATAATTATCTTGTCCAACTCACTGCAATTTTTGCATTGCTTCTGTCAATTATACCGCTGCTTCCATTTGGGTATCATCTGAAAATCTGACTATTTTGTAATGTATTTCTGAATCCTGCTCATTTATATAAATGAGAATAACCCTATGGCATCCTGCCAAGAGTTTGTCTCAACCACTCTTCAACACAATGTGTCTCCTTTAATTCATTGCTTTCTAACCTCCACTTTATTATGGATCCATTCCTAAGAGTTTTTTGAATCTCCAGAAATAATTTAATGTGTGACGTTGTCAAGTATCATCTTGTATGTCAAGATTTTCTATAAAGTGTGGCTCTCCATCATCCACTTAGGATGTCACATCTCTGAAGTAAATTAGGAGTTTGGTTAAACTCCTCTGAACCCTTGCTGGCTAATGTTCACCAAGTTACCATGTGATAGCAAAAAATGGCCGAAGGCACTGAATACTGCAAAGGCTATGAATCCTGACAACATTTGGGTAATAGTACTGTAGACTTGCGCTCCAGAACTTGTCATGGCCCTAGCCAAGCTGTTCCAGTACAGCTACATCCATGCGGTAATGTGGAAAATTGCCCCAGTGTTCCATATACACAAAAAAGCAGAGCAAATCCAACCCAGTGAATTGTAGCCCTTTAGTCTACTCACAATCATCAGGAAAGTGATGAACAGTTCATCAACAGTGGATTGCAGTGTTTCAAGAAGGTAGCTCACCTCCAACTTCTCAAGGCCAATAAATGCTGTCCCAGGCAATAGTGCCCAAATCCCATGAATTAGTAATTTTAACAATTACACTTCCTTGACTTTAAAAATAGAGACGTAGAGTGAAAGCAAGGAAGTTATGCTAAACCCTTATAAAGCACTGATTAGGAATAACTGGCTCAGTGATGCTCAATTTGGATGCCAACAGGACCACTTAGTTCGTGGCCTCATTATACCCTTTGTTCAAAAATGGACAAAAGAGCTGGGGGGCTATTTTCCCTGGAGCATCGGAGGCTGAGGGATGACCTTATAGAGGTTTATAAAATCATGAGGGACATAGATAGGCTAAATAGACAAGGTCGTTTCCCCAGGATGAAGGAGTTCAAAACTAGAGGGCATAGGTTTAAGGTGAGATGGGAAAGATATGAAAGGGACCCTGGGGGCAACTTTTTCACGCAGAGGGTGGTGCGTATGTGGAATGAGCTTCCAGAGGAAGTGATGGAGGCTGGTACAACTACAATATTTAAAAAGCATCTGATTGATTAAATGCATAGGAAAGGTTTAAAAGGATATGGGCCAAATACTGGCAAATTTGGATGGAAGGCGATGACCTAGTGGTAGTATCACTGGACTGTTAATCCAGAGACACAAATAATGTTCTGGGGACCCGGGTTTGAATCCCGCCACGGCAGATGGTGGAATTTGAATTCAATAAATATCTGGAATTAACAATCTAACGATGAACATGCATCCATTGCTGATTATCTGGGGAAATCCCATCTGGTTCACTAATGTCCTTTAGGGAAGAAAACTGCCAACCTTATCTGGTTTGGCCTACATGTGACTCCAGACCTACAGCAATATGGTTGACTCTTAACTACCCTTTGGGCAATTAGGGATGGGCAATAAATGCTACCTGGCCAGCGACGCCCTCATCCTGTGAATGAATAAAGGAAATGGAACTAGATTTATATAGGATATCTGGTTGGCATGGATCAGTTGGACCAAAGGGTCTGTTTCCATGCTATATATCTCTATGACTCTATGAACTCCAGAGGGGAGGTCAGAATACCTGTTTTTGACAATAAGGCAGCATTTGACTGAGAGTGACATCAGGGAGCCCTGGCAAAACTATAATCAGTGAGAATTAGGGGAAATTCTTTGCTGCTTAGAGTCATATCTAGCACAAAGGAGAAAAGTTACAGTTGTTGGTGGTTATTCATCTCTGTTGGAGTTACTCAGGATAGTGCCTAGGCCCAACCATCTTCAACTGCTTCATCAATGACTTCCCCACCATCATAAGATCAGAGGTGGGAATGTTCGGTGATGTTTGTACAATTTTCAACATCATTCATGACTCCTCAGATACTGCAGATAACCAGTCCATGGCAAAATATAACAAGACTTGCACAATATCCAGGCTTGAGCTGACAAGTGGCAAGTAACATTTGTGCCATACAAGTGCCAGGCAATGATCATCTCCAACAAGAGAGAATTTGTTTCCTCTTAACATTTAACAGCATCACCACCACTGAATCCCCCCAACTCCCAACATCCTGGGGGTTACTATTGACTAGAAACTGAACTGAACTCACGTATAAATATCGTGGCTGCAAGAGTATTCAGAGTATAGGAATCCTGCAGTATGTAACTCACCTCCTGACCCTACAAAGCCTGTCCACCAACTATGAAACGTAAGTCAGGAGTTTGATTGAGTCCTCCCTTTTTGCCTAGGTGATTACAGCTCCAATAACACTCGAGAAGCTTGGCACCAACCCAGACAGAGCAGCTGATTGCTTGGCATCGCACTCATGAACATTATCTCCCTCCACCACCAATGCTCAGTATTAGTCATGTATACCATCTATAAAATGAATCCTCAAATCGCACCTTCCAAACCTGAGACTCATACAATCTAGGAGATCAAGGACAGCAGATATCTGTGAACGCCACCCCGACAGGTTCTCCTCCTAGCCAGTTACCTTTTTGACTTGGAAATATATTGCCGTTCCTTTAGTATTATTGGATCAAAATCCTGGAACTTCTTCCCTAAGAGCATTGTGGGACTCCCTTAAACCTATGCCATCTAGTTTTGGACTCCCCTACCCTCAGGCAAAAGACCTCATCTATTTGCCCAATCCATGCTCTCCATAATTTTATAAACCTTTATATGGATTACAGTGTTTCAAGAAGGTAGCTCACCACCAATTTCTCAAGGGCAATAAGAGATGGCCAATAAATGCTGCCCCAGCCAGCAATGACCACATCCCATGAATTAGTAATTATTAAAAATTACTGTAAAGTTACATGTCCTTGACTTTAAAGATATTGACATAGAGTAAAAGTAAGAAAGTTATGCTTAACCCTTATAAAGCACTGGTTAGCTCTTAACTGGTTAGTTGTATTGTGGCCTATTACGGGTAACACACTTTCGGAAGGAGGTCAAAACACAAGAGTGGGCATTGAGAAAATTTGATAACATGACTGAGCAATTTCATTTGCTTATTGGTACCAGAAACATGGACTTATTCTCTATTAAGCAGTAAAGATGAGGAACAATTTGATCTCAGTGTTCTGAAAGACTTTGATACAGTAAACAAAGAGAAAGTTCGGTAACCAGAGGATATGGATTTAAGGTGATTAGCAAGTGGGGGCAATGTGATAAACCCTACAAGGCGCATGAGGAATCATTAATTAATCTCTTTATGGAGCTTGTTGAGTATAAGTTCCCTTGGTTCCCTGCTACAGCTGAGCCCTTTGTAATGCAGACTCAGTGATGACAAACAGACAGGTTACTACCACATTGTGGATATCTGTTACCACTTGTCTCCAGCTCAAACCTCTATCTGTCCAGGGTTGAGACTAGCCTATATACACCATGAGCAGTGGCTCTATTTGGTGTTCAACAATGAATGATGTTCCTTTCCAGTCAGGCTTCCTGAGTCATTACAAACATAAAGAAAAATAATTTATGTATTGCTTTGATTTAGAATACACTGTCTGAAAGGGCCATGGAAGCAGATCCAATGGTTTTCAAAGAAAAGTATGATTATAAAATCAGTTGTCAACAGCAAGTGTTGGATGAGTGTAATGTATGATAAACCTGGTGGTGGGAATTAAAAAGGCCACACGGAAATTCCTCCAACAGAAAGTGTGGGAAGAAACAAACTGTGGTCAACTACATTAAGAGACTCCAGGGTCATGATTGCAAGGAGAGATACCATTTCAGCACAGTATAATCAAATTAAAAATACAAACTGCAACAGTCTGCAAGTATCAAGGGATCAGAGGATGCTGAGGAGCGGGATAAACTCTTCTTGATTGATATACCCAGCACAGACACAAAAAATATATTCTGGTTTGCTGATACCATGGTTAATGGTAAGGGAACTGAGTTTATTTTGAACATAGAAAATACAGTATCTATTCTTTCAGATTCTAATTGTAGCAGACATTCAAATGGCATCGAGGTAAACACTTGAAGGGAGGTGTTTGAAGAACTATCACAAAACAACAGAGGAATACAATTATTTGGATAGTTTTATAGAGCTGGCATAGGCAGGATGGATTGAATGGTCTTCAGTGTGCTATCTTTTTATGATTCCTAAATACACCCCTGTAAGTGATACAATTATTTTTCACACAGAATGACACTTAGATTAATTATTTTTAATTTCTAGCTTGTCACCCTTTTTGAATGTGGGTATCATGTTAGTTTATTTCATGGACTAGTATCTTCCCACTCTCCAATGACCACTCTTTTAATGATTGTCAGAACCATGCAAATCTTGTCCCTACTTGCTTTCAGAATCCTGGAATTAATATTACTGACTCTTGGTGATGTGTTTGTTTTGAGTTTTTTAGCCCTTCTAGTACATTTGTATCAATGTTTACTGGTTTTATCATGTTTGCTCAACAGATTTTATAATCCTTCTTACCTTGTCTAATTAATTTTCTGGCCAAAAAGAAAGTGGTGATTGACACAACCAATATGATAGACAATATGCAGCCAATCAGGATCCACGTTGAGCCTGCCAAATAAATAAAGTTATCAGATCACTATTTACTGGCATCATTTATCAATAAAACAATGAAAAATCTACAACAATAAAAAGAAGATATACCTGATTTAATCAAAATGGCTAAGTCATGAATTCATTGCTGGCTGAAGAGTATTCTCGTGCTACACAAGGTATTACAATGATGCAGGATTGGCTGGATGGATGAGAAGGTCTTTACCTGTCCATCATTGTACATATGTTTTTTTTTATTTCATGCAGTCTTCATGAATCATCAGATCAGTGCTCAGATACAGTGTCACAGAAAAAAACTATTTTCTCGGATGTCACCTGTTACCATTCAAGATGAGCCCCAATAGCAAAAGATTCAATCACATGAGCCTGTGAGTTATTTGTATCCAACAATTCATCCCATCTTATGGACTCTATGACATAAGGATATATATGCACATGTACAATATAAATGACCAGAAATGTTATTATCGCATTGTGGATATCTGTTACCACCTGTCCCCGGCTCAAACTGTTGTTTGTTCACATTACACAATCAAACATATCCTCCATGATCCAACATGCAAAATAGGATTCATAAAATATTATCAATTGACTATGTCTTTGCCTTCCACAGTTGGCCGAATTGAATACTGGTCATTTATGCAAGGCAGGTTAAATGTTTAAGAAGTGCAAAAGCAATAGTGTTGAAGCTGAAGTTCTATTTGGCAAAAAGTTCCTTCCATTACATAGTACAGAAGCAAATTGTGCCTTTCTTTTTGGATGTATTTGCCTGCATCATATTCCCCTCCTTCTTCAAAGTTTTGCTAATCTCCCCACACCGTTGGACTTCTGAAATCTGCCTCAAACTTCTTCAAACACAAAAAAATGAGTACACTGTGATGTATCCTTTTGACTCAGAACTTCTGGGCCTACGTAGCTCAAACGTTAACCAGATGACTTATATTGACACAGCCTCTGTCTTAGACTTGTATAACATTCTTTCCCTGCCCCACATCCCTGTGTTTCATGTCAGGAGAGAGGCCTCAAAAATCACCTCTGAAGAAACTGCTGTTGATTTTTTAAGGTCTTAGTTGTGGAAAAAGTTGTTACTGTTCAATTAGATATAGCAAAATTCTTTTCAGTACAACATACCATGTTGTTTAGCTGATTTTTTAATATAATCCTGGTTATCAAAACAGCCACCTGTCAAGTTGACACAAAATTCTAAGGCAAAGAGCAATTAAACAGGGAATAATTATGTTCTTGTTAGATAAAGGAGCATCTGAGGAATATTATCAGAATATGAAACTGTAAGCAAGTATGCCCATTGAAAGTGGTTCAATCAAATACAACATGTCACATTCTAGGACAACCCTGTAATCTTGCGTTGCAACAATCCTGTTTCACACATGGAAATAGTTTTTTTTATTCGTTCATGGAATGTGGGCGTTATTGGCTAGGCAATATTCATCGCCCATCCCTAATTACCCAGAGGGCAGTTAAGAGTCAACTACATTGCTGTGGATCTGGAGTCACATGTAGGCCAGATCAGGTAAGGTTAGCAGTTCCCTTCCCTGAAGGACATTAGTGAACCCGATGGGTTCTTCCCAACAATTGACAATGGATTCGTGGTCATCACTGATTTAATTCCAGATATTTTATTGAATTCAAATTCCACCATCTGCCATGGTGGGATTCGAACCCAGGTCCCCAGAACATTGTCTGGGTCTCTGGATTAACCGTCCAGTGATAATACTACTAGGCCATCACCTCCCCAGTAGTATTGTTTACATCACAGTGTAAAAATGGCAACATCAACTTTGCAGGGTGCTGAGAGAGACACCAGGGGTAACCAAGCACCAGTTCTCAGCTGGGTTGGGAAGTTCGCAGTGAAAGAGGATCTCCAAACTCAGTCACCCCCATGGTGAGTGCGCATGAAAGACCCACAGAGCCCTGGGAGCTGCCAGCCAGATAATGCATGTGCAGGAACGACAGAAGTCGAATGACAGAAGACGATAAGTTCCAGAGGTAGTCCACAGGGCTCCCACAGCACGACAGAGAGAAAAACAAGCCTGCAGCAGTCAGGAACAAAGCAAGCTCAGATATCAGCAGCAGTGAGTGTTGGATGAGTGCAGAATGCAATACACTCAGTTACAGGAAATAAAAGGGCAAACAGAAGATCCTCCGATAGTGTGGTAAGCCGCATTAAGAGACACCAGGGTCACAAGTACAAGGAGAGAGGCCATTTCAGCACAATATAATCAGTACAAAATGTAAAATACAGGTTGCAACAGTCTGCAAGTATCAAGGGATCAGAAGGTGCTGAGGAGCAAATTGAATTCTTCTTGAGAGATATCACACCCAGCACAATATTTCACAGACACACGAGGTGAATTCTGGTTTGCTAATATCATGGCTAATGGTGAGGAAACTGAAGTTATTTTGGATACAGGAGATGCAGTATTTATTCTTGCAGATCTCACACTGTGGCTAAAACATAAGCTTCTTCAAACTCTTAACTTTTAGTGTCTAAGATTTATTCTGAGTAGGCCCAGCACAGAGGAGAGTGAGGCCCTACTGATTTTTCCAGAGCAAGCACAGGACCTGGAATCGTCGGATGCTACATCAGCAGAGGCGATGTCGGCAAGGTAGGCCCAGCGGCAAAAGATGGAGCCTGAGGATCGACAACTTCATTGTTGGTTGGGTCCAGCATTGGCGGCAGCGAAACGGTGGTGGAGGGCTATGGGCCCAGCGGCAAAGATAGTGCCTGAGGATCAGTGACTTTGATGTTGGTTGGGTCTGGCATAGATAGCGATGGCAGAGGGATGGCGGCACAGGCACATCGACACTGCTGAGCTGGCTCTCTTTGAGCTCTATCTTTTTTTCCCTTATTCTTAAATTATTCAAACTGGCACCTTCTCGTGGCGATAAGTGTAAGCTTTTCACTGTATTTCATTGTATTCTTACTGTAGAATACACATGGCAATAAAATCAAATCAAAATCAGTAAGAGTATGAGAATAGGTGATCATTTGCTATACGGGGGTGAGATCACCAAAACTCTGTACATCATTTCTGATCACCATTGTTACTTATTAAATATGAACCTTTTTATAGCTTTGAATCTTCTCCACAAAGCAGTAGCAGCACAGGAAGCTGATGTTGCTTCATTACTCTGTGGAACCAAACTTCTTCAATAAAACACCTTTCCCAAAATATCAAATGGATTTGTGAAAAGTTCATTTTTTTATCAAGACTCTAATTGTGTAGAACAGAGGTGGTGCCAGCAGTGAAGATGACCAGCCACCATTGAATGGGAATGAAGATACCATTGTTATTAATCTTGCATTCTCCTAGGCTCTTTGAAAAAAAGCATTGATGTTGAAGGAGTAAAAATTGAAATACTTCCTATTGCTAAAGGGACTGTTCCAGAGGAAATTAATTCACAATCAAATACTGAGGAACTTCAAGTTGAACAAATAGCGTATCTGAATGGACAATTGGATTTTTAATGCACTCAGCAAGGCAGCTCACTACCACCTTCTCAAGGGCAATGAGGGACAGGCTGCAAATGTTGGCCCAGCTAGTGACTCCCACATCCCACGAATGAATAAAAGCAAAGAATAAGGCCAGGAAAAGGAAACCTCAGAAAATGAAAAATAAATCAGACATTTGCAGCAGCTACTTGATAAGTTACAAAAAAAAGTGAGACCGAGAGAGGGGAACAGTAAGGTAACCGAATGTGAATGGGTACCAGCTTTTCAATAACAGTGAGAATTGTTTTTGATTCACTGAAAAAGTGACTAGAGAAGAACACAAGCTGGAAACTGATAAAAGAGAAGATGATGGACAACTTTCACAAATTCAGTACAGAAACAGCCATTGCTCTTGAAAAACAGACAGAAGAAACAGACACACTGATGAGGGCAAAAGAGTCAATTTGCTGAAATATTCACATTTCCAAAATCGCTATGAATATTATCTGAGGAAAACATTCTGCTATAACCAAGGTGGTCTTACCAAGTGAAAAATAAATTCTTGCGTTGAAGAAGAGAGATCTTAGTTTACGTTTGCAGAAGACTATCTTTTGAAAGCAAGCCTTCAACAGTGAAAAGGATCATCATTTGATCTTTTGAAGAAATAATTAGAGAAAAATGTGAAAGAAAATGTAAAACTGAACCCCTCAATTCTAGCCAGTATAAATTCTGAGGTGAGATTAATAATTGCATGGAAGTGTACAGACTGGGTGGCACTCCCACTGCCTCAGAAATGAACAATTCTCATCGTTAATTTAGAGATGTTGTTGTCCACTCCAGACCAGCCTCAAGGTCATGAAGGAGAGAAAGTTGTACCATTGCCTTTACATTCAGATTATCATCAGAGACTGGAGCCCTAGTCTGCTAAACATTTTCCTTCCGAGGAGAATGATACAGATCCAACCCACCCATCCTCAAAAAAAGGCCAAGAATATGGTTTTGATATTGAAGCCTTGGCCAGGAGAGATTGTGGTGGTGTGCGGGAGGGAAGGTGAGAGCAGAGATGGAAATGTTTGGCTGAATAGCAAGTGAAGGGATGACATATGATCTGATTAATTAAGGCAAAGAGATAATTACAAAAAGTAAAAAATAAGATGGTGCTTGAGACCAATCAAATGGCTGGAATAACATGACAGGTTTAAGAGTCATGCGTAAAGTGTCAATATTCAGCTATTGACACTTTACTCACACTGTTTGATGCTTTGGATCACCTGCAAACACTTGTTATGCAGCCTATCAACACTCCACTCACACTATTTGAACTATCTTCAGATGCTCTTAATTACCCAGACTGATCTTGCAATTCCCTCTCCACCTATATTTTCTGTGCCTGTGCGCTTCCCTCTACTTCACCTGATGGAGGAGCAGCGCTATGAAAGCTTGTTATTTCAAATAAACCTGCTGGACTATAACCTGGTGTTGTGTGACCTCTAACTTTGACATACTGTGTCAGGACCCCCCTGACTGACGGGTGCCTCCATGGACTTTGGTGACGACTACTTCCCTCGATGTTGAGACATGGCTGCCAGCTTGGTCAGTGTGTTTGCCTCATAAGCTGCTGCGTCTGCTGGGAAGAAGGCCATTCACTGGCCTTCCCCTATATTCAGAGTCAGAAGGAGAAGGGAAGGTAGAGGCGTCCCAAAGTGGAACCATCCCACTTGATTAAATGCCATCTGCCACCAAACTCAGTACAGGGCATTACAAGATTTTATATGTGGTAGCAGGACTTGGAAAATCACAAATGATTCGGCTGAATTATCATGGTTTTATGAAAAGGAACTTTTGTTTGATAAATCTATCAGAGATTTTTGTCACAAGGTAGATAAGTGGAACTAGTGATTGCTGTAAACTTGGTACATTGAAAGGTATTCAAAACTTTTAGTGTCACAGATACGGGTGTTATACAAGAGAAAATCTCTTTGGATCGAGAGTAATACATAGATCACAGATCATAATCGATTCAGGATTGGTTAATGAAAAAAAAACAGAAAGCAAGAATAAACGGGTCATTTTTAAAATGGTGAAGCGCAACTTATATAGTGACACAATGAACTACCTTGGGCCTCATCTAGTTACAACTTTAAACAATAAAATGAAGGAGTATGATATAATTTCTTCAAGTTTGCCAATGATACGAAGCCATACAGGAAGGCAAGCTGTTGAGTGATTGAGTGGAAAGATAGAGTAGAATGTGGGGAAGTACAAAATGATCCACTGTGGTATAAAGAATGGAAAAAAAACCTGTTTTCCACAAAAGGTGAGAGAGTAAATGTTAGTATTCAGTGTATTTTGGGAGCCCAAAATATGGTATGCAAAAGGTTAACATGCAAATACAACAAGAATTAGGAAGGCAAGTGATATGCGTTTAAGTCTTTAATGCAAGTATTCTGGAGTGTGAGAGTCAAAGATCTTGCTAAGTTGCACACTTTGGTGAATTAACACCCGGATTACTTTTCAACTTGACTTAGAGACTGGGAGGCAGAGGGAAATGGAAACATAGGGTTGACCCCAAAAAGGAGGAGAGATGGAGCAGATTGAGCCAGTGTTATCTGGAGTTTGGAAAAATGAGGAATCATTTCACTGAAACACCTACAGCTCTTAGTCGGCTGGACACGTATAGGTGTTTATAGAATATTTCTAGTGATTGGGGAGTTCCAAAATAGAGACCTTATCCTTTGCCTCAGGATAAGAGTTGACCATTTAACACCGAGATGAGGAGAAAGTTCCTTTCTCAAGCAGTTGTAAATCTTTGGAATTCCTTACTTCAGAGGATTCTGAGTGCTTAGTAAATGCGTAATTCATCTGACATCAATTATTTTTAGCCACTGAAGGATAATGTAGGAAGATAGCATTGTTGTTGAAGTTCAAGTATGGTGGAACAGTTTCAAAGAACCTAATGGCCTACTCCTGTTATTCTAACAGAACCCTATTGTACAGTAATACCCAAATATTGAATCCAACCACTCCACCTCTCTCAATTACAATTTTATCCCTACCATCCAATGACACCACTTCCATTTAAATCCTGCCAATCTATGTACAGTCTACAATCTCCTCTCGAACATTTCCTCAATCCTAACACCTACTAACCCCAACCCCCTTGTTCATCAAAGCTCTCCACAGTCTCACTAACCTAAAATTCCTCCTTCCTCTCCACTGTACAATTCTGTCACAGTCCTTCTTTTTAGAGATCTGCCATCTTTCTCTGGCTGGTAAGCAATTGGGAATTGGAGGTAAAGTCCACAAGACCTGTTCCTCATTACAGACATATGTTCCTGAAACAGGCACTGCCTGATAGATTAAGCATTAACGCACACGTAGGGAATGTTATCCAGAACTATTTGGAGCAGGGAATTCATGTTGTCAGTCAATATGTAATATTGATGTGATGCAAGTGTTGCCATTTTAATAATTAAATCAAGCTAATTTACTCTTTTAAACACACACAGGACAAACTGCAGGAATAAGCACACACGTATATGCATAGAGTCATAGACTTATACAGCACAGAAACAGACCTTTTGGCCCAACCGATCCATGCTGACTATAATCCCAAACTAAACTAGCCCATATCCCTCCAAACCTTTCCTACTCATGTACTCATCCAAAAGTCTTTTAAACATTGTAATTACAACCATCCCTGACAATACACCATGACCGGGAAAATGAACAAAGTTGACGTTCAGTAGGGCAAGCTGCCAGGAGAAGGAGGAGGAGATAAAGTACAAGGCTTTTCTTCAGGAGGACAGAACTGCCAGAGGTATTCTGGAAGAAATTATCCAACTTAAACCTCAGCAAGGAACAATGTATTGGACATGTTCAGGAAATAAATGCTCACTGAAATCTGCAGTCACAATGACAACCTTGAAGCAGGGTAAGGACAACATCACCAGTTGCTCTAAAGGTAACTATAGTTATGAACTTCCATATGTGTGGCTTTTCCCTGGCTGGAGCAGATGTTATTTGTAATGTGGCTTAGTGTGCTATCTGCTGTTGCACAGGGGTCCACTGAGGCTCTGGATTCCAGGAGAAATGAATAAATTATGTTCTCTCTTGTCACTGATGGAATAAGCATGGAGCTTCATGAGGATTGCAGGCTTCTCACTGTCAAAGGTGCCACTTTTTGAGTGCTGTGTTAAAATTCTGAGCTTCCTCATAACCAAGGGAGAATCCACTGCGACCATATTGTGCAGGTAAATGCCTGGTATCCTAGCAGCAGTCATGAACTCTTTGTTCCACAGCAGTCTGCTGTGTCATCAACTTTGAGCCACCACAACAAACCTTGGCTGGTTTTTTTTGATCAATGAGGATGATCTTTTCGTGATGTGCCTCATATCTGTGGGGCACATCCTACATACCACATTGGCAGCATTGAAATAACCACATCAGCTGTGATAGAAGAAATCACTAGGGAGTGGAATTAGAGTTATCACAGCCCAGACTAGTCAAGAAAAAATCCTATTGCTCCTAATGGGGGAGGCACAATGGCTCAGTCGTTAACACTGCTGCCTTATGGCATCTGAGACCCAGGTTCAAATCCAGCCTCGGGTGACTGTCTGTATAGAGTTTGCAAGTTCTCCCTATGTCTATGTGGGTTTCCTCTCAATGCTCTGATTTCCTCCCACAGTCCAAAGATATGCAGGTTAGGTGCACTAGCCATGCTAAATTGCCCTGCAGTGTCCAGGGATGTGCAGGATAAGTTGGTTAGCCATGGGACATGCAGGATTACAAAGATAGGATGGGGGGGTGGGGTAGGGGGAGTGGGGGGATGCTCTTCAGAGGGTTCATATGGACTTGGTGGGCTAAAAGGCCTGCTTCCACACTGTAGGGGTTCTCTGATGGAGTATGGAGTGAGCTTCACACTCCTCATCATTGTGAGGAAGAACCTGTGCCACTCACAACAGAGGAGGTATGTAGCTGAGGAGCAAGAAGAAGGCAGCCATCACAATTCCTTTCTAGTCAGCCTGCCCAAGATCAACTAATTTGTCTGCAATATCCATTAATTCAGAACCCAATTCCCTGTACTCCAACAGTTCCACTCCTGTCTTCCTTCTGTTTCTGACCATCAAAGCAAATCGCACGCCCTGTGGCCCCAAAAATCAAGCAAGAGCAGTTTGCCAAGGTATATGAGATAAGCAGTTGGTTTTATATGGAAATCTTCAGTTGTTCACTTTAATGTTAGCTACAAGAATATCAGATTTAATGAATTTGGCTTCACAATTTGGGATTTGAACTCATAAACACTGCCATTGTTGTAAAATTAAGCCTCATTTTAAATGTTTGCCTGAATCTTTGCTTCAAAAAAATTGAATCAATTTATACTTTTTATCCGCAGTATATTGTAAGGGAGTGCCCATTACACTTTCTAGCGAGAGTCACAGGGCAGTGAGCAGGAACCAGTGTTAACCTTTCCCACCCCATTTCAGAGCCAAAAGGTCTGCTGAAGCTAATCTTACACCAAAATACCATCAAATCTTGGATCTGCCACCAGCACACAATGCAGACCAAGATACTGGATGAAGAAAATCATTATGCTGCATCTTCGTAATTATAAACAGGAAATTGCCACATACCACCAGTTGTGTTGTCATTGGAAGACACTGCCATTTCATTGTTGACAACTGGAATAACAAGTACATGTATTATTCAATTTGTTATAATAGTGAAACTCAGAGTTCTCAAAACTAGACTGTTTGCTAAATTAACATACTTTCTCAGTTGTGAAATACTTTGAGAATAAACAACTAATTAAGTAAGAATAGAGAGCATATGGAACAGGTTGCCAGAGTGTACATTCAATCACAGTTTTTCCGAAAATGAGAGCAGTTTGGAGCTCTTCCAAGAGGTCAATATTCTATAATATAAATCAGGGTCAATGTGGTCTGCTGGACTGGATTCAAATGGCTAAACATGTTGGAGAGGAATTTTTCAGGTATTTGGACCCCGATTGCCCCAGGAGTTATACCTGCTTTTTTACTCAGAGATTGCTTGATTGACAGGGAGCACCCATATCTTACTTACTGAAGAATCATAGCTCTATGGGACAAGCTAGAAAGACCAAGCGGTCTTTTCCTATCATAATCTTATCTATTCATTTTAATAGCCAAAAAGCGATCATTTACAAATAACACATACCTTGGACGTGCAGGTGAGTGCCATTCCCAGACATTCTGACCACTGGTGGAGGAATCTCAATTAATACCTCACAAAAGTACATTCCAGTGTCATTCCGGTTTATTTGGGAAATAGACAAAGTGCTAACTGTATCATTGAGAGAGTGTTTCATCCTTTCGGTGTAATCCAGGTAAGGCATCGTTATGTTCCCTCTGGATGTCAGAACTAGAGTCTTTTGCTCTGATAAAACTTTGCTCCATTCAATCCGCCGTTCCAAACTGGAGCTATTAATCCAACAAGTCATTGTTGCTGTCTCTCCTTCCATTGCAGAAAGGAGAGGTGGAGACTGTGTAACCATAAGAATTACACTGTTCCCAACTGTAAGGAAAAGAAAATGCACAAGGATTGAAATGTTCAGTCTTTGTATAAGAATCTTTCAAATATCACCCCCTATTGTTTTCAGTTATTCATGCAACTGTATGCACTCAGCCATCTAAAATGTTTCCAACAACGAATGATCAAATAAAATATTTTATGTGATATTGATTGCAGAAGGCATATTTGCCTGGACAACTTGATGCTCACTTACAAATTGAACATCCACCTGAACAATAAAAACAAACAGCATGGCTTCTTTTCAACAATTCATCCAAATGACAAGATCATTAGGAATGGAGCGTTCCCTTTTTACTGAATTGTAATGGAAATGGACCACATGAATGTGTTCTTATCATTCTCTATCCTTAGAAGATCATTCCCCATTAAGTAAATCGAACAGGCTGGAATAATGTCCCAGTGCCATTTTAGTGAATCTCTTCTGTATACTCTTTGAGGCCCTAAAATCCTTTCAAAGTGTGGTTGTTTTAAGTAATGAGTTTAATGACTGAACTAAAGGGAAATGAGTGTTAATAAAGGTGTATATTAAACACCTGTGGGATACCAACCAGTATAATATGTACAATTATGTTTCTGCCATCAGCCTTACCCAGAATTGAACACAATACTCCATCTAGGACCTAACTAAAATTTTATAAATTGGTATAATTTGGTATAAATTGTGGCTTTTGTACGATGGCTGTATGCTTCTATTAATAAATCTCTTATGCATTTTTAAAAGCCTTCTCAATTTGACCTGCCACCTTCAGAGATTCATGTATAATATATACACCCTACTCTTTTTATTCCTGGCTAAAAATAAGTTTGTATTGCGCCCCCCCTTCATTTTTCCTGCCACTTTACTTCAAACCTATCTGCATTAATTATTTCAGTTATGTATCTTCCCAGTTCACCAGTCACATGTCCTTCTGAAGTCTGTTACCATCCCTCCACAATGTTTATGATGGTCCAAACCATCCAAGTTCTGGATGTCAGAGGCAGAATGTACAACCTGAGATATGCATTGGTACTCTGTAGGAGTCTGGATGCATGACCTTTTTGGGAATTGAAGGGGAGGCTTGAACTTCCAATGGGCAATCCCCCTTCTCCTTGAGCGTACTACAAACGTATCCAATTCTATTCTGAAGCTGGGAGTTTAGACAATTCTGATATATTTACATGAATAGTTACCCTGGAAAAGTAAGACAGGAAAGTTATAGTCTAGCTCCTGGGCAAATCCCAACTATTCACCATAACTTACCACTCTGACTATCTCATGTGATTTGGTTTGATTTGATTTGATTATTTTCACATGTACCGAGATATTGTGAAAAATATTGTTTTGTGTGTTATCCAGACTAATCACACCTTACATGAGTACATCAGGGTAATGGAACAGAATGCAGAATATAATGTGAGAGCTAAAGAGAAGGTGCAGAAATAGATCAATTCTAATATATGAGAGGTCCGTTTAAAAGTCTGATAACAGCATGGAAGAAGCTGCTTTTTAATCTATTAGTATGTGTTTTCAAATTTTTGTGTCTTCTGCCCAATGGAAGAGTGTGGAAGAGGGTGTAACCAGGGTGGGAGGTGCCTTTGACTATGTTGGCTGCTTTCCTGAGGAAGTGAGAAGTGTAGATGGAGTCAATGGAAGGAAGGCTGGTTTTCGTGACGGACGGGGCTGTGTTCACAACTCTCTCTAATTTCTTGTGGTATTGGGCAGAGCAGTTGCCATATTTCCTTAGCTTTCTCAGGAAGTAGAGGCATTGGTGTGCTTTCTTGACCTTAGCATCTGTGGATGGACCAGGACATATTGTTAGAGACGTTTACTCCTAGGAGCTTGAAGATCTCACACCTCAGCACCATTGATACAGGCAGGGGGTGTGTCCTCCACTCTGTTCCTGAAGTCGATAGCCAGCTCCTTGGTTTTGCTGACATTGAGAGAGAGATGGCTGTCTTTACACCATGCCACTAAGCTCCCTATCTCTTTCCTACACTCGTCATTGTTTAAGATTCAACCCACTACGGTAGTATCATCAGCAAATTCGTAAATGGCCACACAGTCATGAGTGTATAAGGAATATAGTATGCAGCCTTGCAGGGCACCAGTGTTGAAGATTATTGTGGAGGAGGTGTTGTCACCTGTCCTTACTGAGTATAGTCTGTGGGTCAGGAAGTTGAGGATCCAATTGCAGAGGGGAGAAGCAGTGACCTAGGTCTTGGAGTTTGGAAATGAGTTTGGTTGGAATTATATTGTTGAAGGTGGAGCTAAAGTCAATAAGTAGGAATCTGATGTAGGTGTCCTTGTTATCCAGATGTTCCATGGATGAATGTAGGGCCTGGGAGATGGCATCTGCCGTGGATCTATTGCAACGCTAGGCAAATTGTAGTGGATCAAGGCAATCTGGGAGGCTAGAGTTGACATGTGCCACAACTAGCCTCTCGAAGCACTTCATTATGATGGATGTCAGAGCTGCCGCACGGTCATCATGAAGGCACGCTGCTCAATTTTCCTTTTGCGTTGGGATAACAGTGGTCTTCTTGAAGCAGGTGGGAACCTCACGTGGTAGTGAGGAGAGGTTAAAGATGTCTGCAAATACTTCTGCCAGCTGGTCCGTGCAGGATCTGAGTGCACAGCTGGGGTCTCCATCCAGGCCGATCACCTTCTGTCGGTTCACTCTCAAGAAGGCCGATCTAACGCCTGTGAAGGTGAAAGTGGGTATAGGTACACCCGAGGCTGTCAGGGGCAGGTGACATTTATTTCACTGACCTTCTGTTCAAAGCAAACACAGAAATCATTCAGCTTATCAGGGAAGGATGCATTGCTGTCAGCGATTCTACTCGACTTCGCTTTGTGGCCTGTTACATCGTGTAAGCCTTGTCACAATCAATGTGTGTCCATGTGGTTAGTCTAGGACTGTAGCTTAGTCTGGTATTGTCCCTTGGCAACCCTGATGGCTTTGTAAAGGTCATACCTAGATTTCCAGTATAAGTCAGGATTGCCAAGTTAAACACCTCAGACATGGATGTCAGTAGGGAGTAGATCTCCCGGATCATCAATGGTTTCTGGTTGGGGAGCACTCGGATTAACTTCTTTGACATGCAGTCCTCTACACACTTTTTGATGAAGTCTGTGATGGTAGTGGCATTCTCATTTAGATTGGCCACTGAGTTCTTGGACCAGTCCACTGACTCCAAGCAGTCACATAGGAGCTCTCCCATTACTTCAGGCCAGCAATATATGCCTTCTGTACCGGATCCTCACCCCCTGGTTGCAAGCCAGGAGAAGGAGCACAACTTTATGGTCTGATGTGCCAAAATGCAGGGGGGAATGGGGCAGTAGGCATCTTTGATGATGGCATAGCAATGGTCAAGGGCGTTCGGGCCTCTGGTGGGATTGGAGATGTGTCTTCTTGGCAGCACATTGTTGAGGCTGGTCTGTTTGAAGTCACCAGCCACGAAGAACAAGGCCTCAGGGTACTCCATGGTCAAGTCCAAGCACCAAGAGTTGTTGATTAGGACGCAGGCCCCTCTGCCCCTTGCCTTGCCCAAGAACGTCAAGCGGTCTATCCGGTGAATTGAGAAGCTCTCACGTCGTAAGCACAGTCAGGTGAAGCGGGAGTGAGCCATATCTCTGTAAAACAGAGCACACAGCAGCTTCTCAATTCCCTTGACCCCTGTGAATAATCCTTGACCCAACAACCCTACTCCAGCCACTCAACTACATTCCGTATTAAAGCTCAACAGTGCAGCTAAACCCATCCCAAAAATAATAACTGTCCACCCACCAAACTTCACCCCATACCCCTGACTACCTTTGACTATCCTTCTACCTCTCATCCTGACCTGATTGGCCAGCATCCTGACTACTCCTCCTAGCCCAGCTACCACTTCCCCCTATAATCACTACCATATCTTGCACCCACCACCCTACTCACCACCTTACCCACCAACCACTTCAACCACCAATCCACCTCACCCACTAGTCACCCCCATGACCAAACATCTCATCCACTTGCCACCCTACCACTTCAGTTAACTGTCAACCACCCACACACCTCACCCACCAGCTGAACCTACCCATTCACAGATACATCCTCTCACCCGTTCATTGTCATTCACACTGGATATTTAAACCTACAGCAATCAATACCAATAAAGGGTGGTGTCAACTCTTCCCCTTACCCTACAGCACTGTGATGGGGTTTTCCAAGGATGTTGTGCTTTGTATTTCTGGAGATTCTGAACTCAAAAGACCAGGCAAGAAATACAGAACACTGCTGAAGCAGCAATCCAGTGATCATCACCACTCTGTAGAACACTGCGTCCAATAATGTGGGTCATTTTCAAACTTAGAAACATTTCGTTTTATTCATTACTCTGGCCATGAATTCATTTCAAAGAAAGTGGTGAATCCCAATACCAACTCTTGAAGAATGGCATGACATAACATCCTTTCAGTCTGAAAAGTAACCAGTTACCATTATTGACTACCTTCTGTTCCTTAACTTATTTTGAATTCAGAATGCCACAGTTCCTTTAATTCAATGGGTTTGAATTTTGTTTCTAAACCTGTAGGAGGTCACAGCCTGGATGTTGAAATTGAAAATTACCTGCACTTGAGCAAGTGTTTGGATGAGAACATGATGGGGACTGTTTGTGATGCACTCCACATGAAGGACTCTTGTGGTATAGGGTAGCATCCCTACCTCTGAGCCAGGAGATCCAGATTCAAGTCCCATCTGTGCCAGAGGCATGCAATAACATCTCTGAACAGGTTGATGAGAAACTAGTCTGGGCCCTTTCTGTGGTACAGTGGTAGTGTCCCTACCCCTGGACGAGGAGAACTGGGTTTAAGTCCCACCTGTACCAGAGGTTTTGTGACAGTGTCAGATCGATTGAAAATGCCTTTTCTTAAAAAAAAAGCCTGACTTGGTGTGGGATCTTACTTCCTATACATAATGTTGCAATATCTTTCATTGTGTGTACAGTGAAAGTATGAT